GAAGACATTTTATGCATACCTTCTTGCTTACCTGAAAGTCTGCCACATAAACAAAGAAGACACTTTAGGGAATTTCAAAATATTGGGATTGCGATCTGTTTATTTGGGGGACGTGAGCATTTTCCAAGATGGCACCTAAAGTAAGACTGTCGACTTATTGCTGATGTTTCTCGTCCAGAGGAGAAAGAGAACTAGGATAATGTCATCAGTAGTGTCCTTTGATTTAATCACTATTTTTTTTTAGCTGTGTTTCCTGTATTATGTCCACTGGTTATACATGTACACACAACTCTTGAGTGGGTGAAGACATGTTTCTATGAAATAATCATCAGATGAAGAATTCTCTTGTGAAATATTTGTGAGATCAGAAATTGATTTTAGTTTATAAACAAACTTGTCAGACTAGATATCTTTAGTCTTTATTTTATAGTCAAACTTCTTTTGTTTTGCGTTATTTTTAATCTTCATCATTATCGTTTCCTTCTCCTTTACGTATTTCACCTATGCCTTCCTCTGTGTATGTGCTTACTTGTTTTAATCTTACATGAATATTCTCGTTTCATTTGTTATATTTCTTATGGTATTGTACAAGTCATTTTTATTTGGATACGGTAGTCGGTGTAAGTCGGCACAGTTCCTCTGCCTTCATTGATGAATATATGTTAGGATACAATGTCATCCACATAGGACATTGCATCCTACCATTCGTTACCCTCATTCTCAAGCATGTAATTTAAATATTTATTTGTACTTTTGTGTATATTTTTTTCAATCTGTCTAATTCTGGAGGGGTATGAGCCTTCAATTGCAAAGTAAATCGGCTCAACCTCTGGTGGAAACGATGTATGACTCAAATTTGATACTGTATTTGTCCAAAATGTCATTCATATTATGTACATTATGTTTGTTCTCTCTTGCTTACTCCTTACACAGAGGGAAAATGAAATGAAGTCGGGTATTGATTTTACCGACCTCTGTGTAGGCTTGATTTATTACCCCCAAGTCAACTGTAATCGTTGGAGTAATGAAAAGAGGGAGGAGCGCACTGTATGGTGCATTCATTGTACAGCAAACTGTGACTTTTGTTGGTACAGTAAATAAAGAAAATTAGGCAAAAACTGCTGTGATGTACATTGAAAACTTACCAGGATATGGTGTCTCCATTTGTTGTGTGTTTGTTTTTGTTACTTTAAAGATGGAGTAGATTTGCTGGATGTGCTTATTGGGAAAATTAAGTTTTTAGTCCATCATTGGGTATGAACCATAAAACAAAACATTTTCACAATTTACTGAGTGTGGTTTGACTTTCAAAGGGTTAATTTTATTTTTCATATTTCAGTTTCACTGCATTATTTGACATGGGGAGCAATCAGCATACATGTACTTCAACACATTTTGTTATTTCAGACAAATCATGATTTACAGGGGGGGGGGGGGGGGGAGTGTGCACTCCTTTTCCCCTTTAAAAAACTTTTTTGTTGTTGCCAGGGGGGGGGGAACATAGATAAAACACAGATAAAGGGTGAGGGTGTCTTTAAAATTCTAAAACACCCCCTTTTTGCCAAGGGGGGGGGGGGGGGGGGATTTTGATATTTTTTCCTAACTTGATATCAGGGTGGACTTCCCCTTCCTTCTTTACAGCCTTTGGTTAACAGATGGCACAAACGGGGGATTGCCACAGTCGACATGTGTAACACACTCCCAACAGTTTAGCAGTCTTGATTTTTATTATCCATAGTGAGTAAAGAAAGAAGGAGACACAGCTAGAAAATTTGCACAGGTTTCATCTGGTTTCTAATCAAGGCAACATGAAGAGTGACTTGGTCCACTAAGCTACTTGTATAACATGTAATACATTAAACTAATCTATACTAAAAAGTGAACTGAATGAAATCAGAACCCCAAGGTTTTTATTAAGAGTCGTTACCTTGATGGTACGTAACTCTTTCTTTACATGCAATTGTTTGTCCTAACAAATAATACAGTTCAAGGAAATATATCAAAACCATTTCTAGAGAGCTAGGAGGGCATCAGCTTGTATCATTAAACATACCGAATGATTAGTTCACATATGATGTGGGAAACCGCATTATTATTATTTTTTTTTATTTATTTATTTATTTTTTTTTTTTTGGGGGGGGGGATCTTTGGTTGTTGTTTCTTCAGTTTAAATGAATGGAAAGTGGGGATGTAAAGTAACTTGACACAACAAAGGCACTGCTTGCACTCGATATCATTGTGTTACAAGATAGATATACAAAGCATATTACCCTCATAGTACACCATGAAAATAAATACCGTACGCATCCATTAAACTGCAACATATGTGAACGAACCTTTCAAGACATGCCCTGGTAGATCTGGTGGTTTGATGTGACATGTGATGTGGAGGACCCTCAAGGTAGCCAATTGTATTTTCCAAAGGACATATGTCAAGAGGTAACATATACACCAATGAAACTCTCACGAAAGCGTGAAGTCGGTCAATATCTGCTATATTACACGCTATCTTACATGTAACTACAAAGCTGACATTTTGTGAAGGAGTACTTTACACGTACATCTCTGTGAATAGTAAACTGACATTTGCTCCAGCAACGTTTAATTGGGCTTTACTTTTGCCAAAGAGATAATAGGGTTAGGTTTAGGGTTGCAAATAGGTTTTAGGTTAGGATTAAGGCTAGGTATTGCGCTAGGCCTACTGTAGGTCCAGGGATAAAGTTGAAAATTCTGTTACTTAGGAGCAATCGTTTCTGGAGCATGTGCCCATACAACCCTGTAAATAAGACCAGAAATAACTTGACTTGCTTGCATTCCTTTATTCCCTCCCTTTTCTGTAAAGAAAGGAGCACAGCTGCTTCATCCTTTACCCCCTTTATAACATAGTGGAAATGTGTCATATTTCTGATGCTAAATATACACCTTGGCTTCCAAAAATAGGACACTTTTGACATGATGCTTTGTAGAGGCTCATTGAGGCCAGTTTGAAGATGGTTTACTCTATTTAAAGCCTGGCATTTTCAAAGGCAGGCAATTGGATTATCCTAGAGTACCAAATATGCATTCTAAACAATTTATAGTTACTGTAACCTTAAAGGGTGCCAAACACCAAAAATATCCTGTTCTGTTTGTAGCATACTCGACAAGGGGGCGAATGAAACCTGTATAAATGGTCAACAAATCACAGACTGGAATCTGAAACGGAAGTAGGGCGCTTAACATATACATTCTCTTGTTTGCTTTACGCACCATTTCTTGAACATGTTCTCCCCATTTCAAATCTGATTGTACCGTGACCCCAAGTATTTTCACTAATTTAACCTGGTTCAGAGAGTGATCTGCAAGTGTTGCGCTTAAGGGGAATAGGTCAGTCTTACCAAAGTACACCCTCATGGTGTGACATTTCTTCACATTCCGACGCATGTTATTTTCATCACACCACTGCGCCAGATTATCGAGTGTAGGTTGTACCTCACTGATCGCGCCCCGTGTATATATGTTAGGGGGTTCCATGTCGCTTTCTATATTTCTAATAAAAGCTTGATATTACTTCTCATTTTTAAAGTTTTAAAGCCATACTGTACTAAGAGCACAACTGCAAAATCCCTCATGTGTATCTCGGGTCAGCTGTAGCATTACGGTCCCGTAACTCGCCGTTTCCCTGTCTGCGCCGTTGGTTCTTGCATCGAGTCCTACGTCTACTAAGTGGGAATTAGGTATTTGGTTTTGCAATGTTGGCAGGGTTGGCCATGAGATGTTGTTAAGCAATAAGCAGTAAACTAGGGCTAAGTTTCATCAGTTAAGTATCGCTTTAAGTACGCTCCCAGTCAACATAAAAGCAACTTATGAGTAGACTTGTTAACACACTCGTAAACTCACAGATAATGGGGCACAATGAGCCCATGTCCTACCTCAGTTACACACAAAGGGTTTCCTGTAATCATTTACTCTTTTAATACTCAACTTTTAATCCACTGAATACCAGGTTAAGTTTCTTTTAATGTATTTCATACATTTTCGTTATACACAATTTATATTAAGGTGTACCCTTTTAAAAGCCTGTTTTGAAATTGTCTTGGTCATTAAGTGTATACAGTTAAAACCAAACACATAAAAACCTATGAAACTCTCCTTTAAAATTTGTACCAGTTATTTAAACGATATCTCCCTCATCTATCTATAACAAGGATTGATAGGGTTCGCTTAAAATGCATCCTTCAAGAAGGAAATTATCAAAAGGCTCTTTAAAAACACAACAGGGACTTATCCCTGTGTGTAGTTGATTGAAAAGATGATTGTTAGAGGGAGATCAAACCTTAATAATACATTACTCTAAAAGAAAGCAGATTGGTGAAAGTTCTAACAAAATCAGAAAAAAAAAAAAAATTTGTTTAGGTTGTAGTCACTAAACATGTGGGCACTCCCAATTGGCTGAATCGGCAGTGTCGCTGTGAAAAAGTGCCAGATAACTGTCCCATTTGGTCCAAAACAAAATAACTAAAATGTCAATTTTTCAAAATGTATGGAGGGTCTTTTGTTTTTAAAGAACCTTTGAAAATATGCGTTACCCACAATATATTTTGAGACACGCCCGAAGGGAGATGTCGCGTGGGAGAAAAACAGAAATTTACGATATTTTCGTACATGACAAACCGAAAAGTCAGCCATGAATACGTCACAATCCCATGACCAAATTGTCAATTTGAGTTTCACATGGATTTAGTGATCTCATATTTTAGACACTCAGAATTTTCTTATCATTGGTCCGATTTATTTCTAATTTGCGCAATTTTAAATCTTTTTTCCCACTTTTATACAAAAGAACTTATTACAAGGATTGGATTGCCCTTTAAAGGACATTTGGAAGGAGGAAAAAACCATTTTGAGACCCTTAAAGTAGATATAACAACAAAGACCCTGTAAACAATATTAATAGCCTAGTACTGTTACAATTTATTTAAAAAAATAAATAAACACAAATCAAGAATGACATGCAAAAATACAAAGTAATCAGTTGCATGATTTATTAATTTGCTGAACAGCATAATTCATAAAATTAAAGGAATACGGTACATTTTTTTCTCAAGAAGTGAATATTTGAGTTACGCATCAAAATTTGTAGTCATTAGTAATACTGAACACGTGTATGAAATAGCGCTATAAAAATATTTTTTTTGAGGTATGGTGGGCTGGTGCATAATATAGATATAGCCTCTACTAAAAAAATGAAAATAATAAACAATTATAACCCTTACTTCAGTGAATTTCATCAAATTCCATTGGTTATTACATGTACCTATTTAAACATGCTGAACACCTTTACATTACCTATTTAAACATGCTGAACACCTTTACATTTATATTCAGTTTTTGAGGGTTCAATCTTAAAATTGGGCTGTATTCTAGTCAAAATGAGAGGTACTTGGCACTGTCTGGATCTCACCTTTAAAGTTATTTCCCAGCACTTACTTAGTACCACAAATTCTACAGGTTGGATTTTCTAAATAATAAAAACTCAGTTACCAGATGGACAGCTACTGCAGTATAATCTTTCAGAGATCAAGATTTGGTCGTTCAAGCATGCGAATACATATAGCTTTACATTTGACCGAGACGGTGCTTACCATATTCAACCCATTTTGTGCATACAGGGTAAATAAATTGTCCATAATTAAAGTCCAATAACACATCAAGAATGGTATTATGGATGTCTTCCTCATTTCTTCTGTTTAGTCTGTTTCCTCTTTGTGCTACTACCGGTCCTTCCAGTGCCTTCACTCCTCCTCCCGTCATTGAAACCATCCCTATCAAAGTCCAACCTACTCTTCCGACTGGCCTCCTTCCACTCGACCTGAAGCTTCTCCAGCATGTCTTTGGACAGTAGACCTTGCTTGACCAGTTCCTCGCTCAAACGTCCAGAGAGTCCACCGAGCTTCTGAGACAGGTCATCTCTAGATGGTCCTTCTCCTTCCAAGGGTTGGTGTCTTTGTCGAGGCGAATATTCCTTCTTGGTGTCTCTTGCTTTCCTGCGGTTGGTGCCGTCTTCTGTCCCTTCTTCAGAATTGTCCTTTGACGCAGTCACATCTTGAGGTAAAAAACAAAGAGAGAGGGTTATATTAAAGCCCCACTGCACTACTTATATCTACTTGCACCCTCTATATAGCAAACAATGCCTAATCGGTGCCTGTTGGTCCCACATGATCCTCTTTTTCTTATGTTAATTGAGAGCTGATTCGATGAGATAACCACCTGTCAGTGACCTTCAAGGAAGGTCTTATCCCCCTGGCCAAACTAGTACAGATGGGCTTTCAGATTGAATTCCTCTACCAGCTGGATGGTTCTAGAATAATTGCATGTATGGCAGGCAAAGAAGTCCATCAAACAGACCTTTGTTACAGCTGCCTTCAAATAATTGTTAAAAGAGTGAAATAAGGTATCAAAATAAAATCATGAAGTAATTCTGATGACTGATTGATATTAAAGATAAAGATCAGTTATGGTCATGCGATTGCATTGTGAAAGAAACATTGTGAAAATCGATCATAAAAGGTTGATCATCTAGCATATAAGTATTGGTGTGTACTGCAAGGTTCTGGAATCATCAAAATGATAAGAAATTTGGCCCAGTCTTCATAAAGTTACAAGCACTGTACACATAAAGATGTATATGGGACTACGCACACGTGCGCGACACGTGCGTTTTTATCTCTCACATTCCAATAGATAAACAAATTTACCAAATATATCAATTAGTAGGCGGTTTCCCAGCAAAAATTTCATCATCATGTATTATTCAAAACATATTCTTTCACATGATTGGTAATAAGAGCTTCCATTTCATTTTTTGAAATTGGGGCGTTTCCAATACTGGTCTTTACCTTTAAGCTCAAATTTCCTCTTTAAATCCCTATTCTCTTTTTTTACGATAGCACCATTTACACTTAAACCTGCCTTACTGACCACTAGTGTACAAAGGTCACACTTATTTGTCCCTTGAACTCACCGTAATATGTATTAAAAGGAAATGTGTAGGATGACCAACTGCTATAATGGTCACTTTCCTGCATACCAAAACATTTTTTTCACATGCAGCTTCAATGATAGAATATATTCCACACAAACAAAATATATCAACATTCTTTTCCCCAAGGATACCAGATGGTGTTACCTCAATTTGTGAATACTCACTCACAATCTAAAGCTATAGGGAACATCTAACATATCTGCTAATGTGAATGAAAGGAGAACAGAACCCCCTTAAAGGGATCCGGTAACTTTGTATCAGATTCTGAAACAAAATCCTGGATTTAGCTCATGCTGCAATGATAATTATAAACTTTTAGGTCAGTCAAGAACCCTATGACTTTTACAAGCCTGTCTGATTATCAAGATATTAATAATTGGAAATCAAAGCAAAATTTTGCGTTTTCCTAACAGTTTTCATAACACTAGTCTATTGGGGAAAACGAATATGGTAAAACCGGTCACTCAAAGATTTTTACTTTTGTGAAGCACTTCTTGATCATTATGAAGCGCGATTTCTTTTTTTTAGGGCTTTAATATTACAGACACTGATAACACGTAGGGCCATGCATCTCAGATTTAACATTTTTAAAGGATGCCCTTCAATCAAAAATTGATAATTCATAAACATGGTACAGTCAAACCTGTTATAGCAACTACCTGTATAGAAAGACCACATTTTCAATTTTCTCTCCATTAGGTTTCTTAAAAGAACATGTACATGGAGTCCGCCTACTTAACAAGATCACATTTCATGTTTCCCTTGATTGGTCTTTGTACACAGGGGAGTGTTTCACAAAGACTAAGATTTACTTTAAGTTTAAGTCAGATTTAACTATGGCAGGCCATTCCTGCCACTAGTTCCTCTAACCTTTACTGGCATTGGTTTCTCAAGGGCCTTGCAAATCGTGGTCACAAATCTAAAGAATTTACCTTTTTAGAAAAATGTTATCTAAAAGATCATAATTGAGAGAACAATGGTGAGAGCAACCAGTGGCATGAATGGCCTGTCATAGTTAAGTCCAGCTTAAAGTTGTTCTTAGTCTTTGTGAAACACCCCCCTAGTGTCACTTTACTCGAAAACACTGACCTCCTATCTTTCCATGGCTCTTCTTCTGTTCTATATCAGGATCCGGGATGGATGTCATCCCGTTAGACCTGGTCTCACTGGCCCTGATCAGCTTGGTGATGTTGATGACCCCCATCTGAATGATATGATCCAGCTCTGCTTGTACATCCTGTATGAGGGCCGTGTCAGGAAACATGTCCATGAATCGATAGCTGAGAGGTTGAAAAGAAAAGCATGAAGAGAATAACTGGATATTGAATCGTCAGGCAAAATTTATGGATATTTTTTTTTTCGTCCTAGATTTCACATACACACATCATATTACATAACTATATTTGGACGTGTTAACACTTAAATTGTGGAAAAGCTACCCTTCATAGAATCTGTAAAGATTCTTTTTCAAGAAAGAACTATTGTACTTTAGAGCAGAACCTCTCTTTTTTCCTACGGGGCTATTTCATTTTTAACTCTGAATGGGTTTAGAGGCATTTGAAGATGCAAGCTTGGTTTAAATAGCATCATTTACACTGTTTCGATCGAACCAGTCCATAAATGCCAGCCTCAATTTGTTTTTACAATACATTTGCCTCTTCAGGAAAGGGCTCTACAACACACGCAAAAACAGTGATTGTGGCAACCGCAGAAAGGCAGGTGGTATAAATTTGGATGGAGGTGGCCTCTTTGTCAGGTTTATTACGCGCTATTTACGGTAAGCACTTTTCATTGATATTATCATTATTTGTCAGGGTTTCATCTGTAGACTTACCTTAGCCATAGGTAGAGATCCATGACATCATGCACTGCTTCTAGATGCATCAGATCACGGATGTTCTTAGGGACTGCAAGAGGCCATCCAACAGAACGACAGAACCAGTCAAATGTGATGGGTTGATTCCTACTATACTGCCTGGCAAACTGAAAAGAAATGGACAAACGAGAGAGAGAGAGAGAGAGAGTTCCAAGATAGATAAATAGCCTTTAATATATTTTCAAATACCCTATCAAGTATTATAGTAGACAGTTCGAAAGGGAGATAATAAGTAACCGACGGTTTGCCCATGGCATGTCAGTGACTGAGCAAGAGACAAAAATGTCCATTTACACACCCATAGAGAGGAAAACGGCTAATCCAAGATTAGAACCAAGCTTTCCTACTGGTGCAATTCATACATTTCCATTTTTGTTTTATTCAGTAATGCTTTCCTTGGTCTTGCTTATGATAAAGAGGATTAACTTTTCATAAGATTGGTGAATATTTCACTTGTATCTATGCACACAATATGTACAAAGTTTATGACATGTTTAAAATAATAATAGGGTAATAAGAGTATCCTCATCAGTACGAGGGCCCTGCAATCACATTATTACCCCGACTTTAGCTGAGCTTCCATGAAAAGGTGCTCAAGCATTCAAGGAATTTCCTCCTACCATGCCATGCTATCTTACATAACTTCTGTTGCCAGAGCGTTACCAGAGGCAAAATCAAAATACTTATACTTCTTGACAAACAATCATCTGTTCAAAGCCAGAAGGACATTAACTCAATGTTTAATTATATGAGTTAAAGGCCCACTGCACTACTTGTAGCTACTTGCGCCCTCTATATAACAAACAATGCCTAATCGGTGACCATTGGTCCCCCATGATCCTCTTTTTCTTATGTTAACTGAGAGCTGAGTTGATGAGATAACCACCTGTCCAGTGACCTTGCAGGGCAGTCTAATCCCTCCTGTAAACTATGGCAGATAAGCTTTAATACCTTCTGGCTCCAAACAGACAATATTAAAGTAAGCGTCCATTCAAACCCTTTTGTATTCATCACTACTACTTAACATTATACAAATTGGTATGTTACAAATGATACAAATTGGCTCTCGCATGGTGCACCCGCAAGCCTATTGTATATTATACAAATTGATATCTAAACTAATTTCCAATCTTGAAAATACAAATGTATACAGTGAAAAATAAAAACTTGGCAACAATAATGGTACCTTGAGGAACATAGTACAGATGAAAGGAAGTTTCCTGTTGATGGGGGCACAGCAGAAGACGTATCTGGCACGTAGATGAAGGGGAACGTGTTGAATCATGTCAGCCAAGAACTTGAAGTCATCCACATTACATACAAAGTAATTCTTCTCTACTATGGACAAATTGATGAAGATTTCCTGTTTAAAACAAAATAAATCAAAACAATTATAAATTCAAGTTTCAGGTAATAACAAATATTGTCAAAATGTACATTATATGTAATAACGAAATTATGAATGATGGATGCAATGACTGGTTTAAAAATCCAAATTTTTCTTCTTCTTTTCTTGATATAATCACATGATTTTTGTAAGTTTATGCTAGGGGAACGAATGTCCAGTAAAAAATAACCCCTGGTACTTTGGTGGTGGAGGCACAATAAACTTTACAATTTGAAAATGGTGAATATCACTTTCATCAAGTAGTTATGATCAATATAGTAACACCAAAGATGCATTGGATTATTATCATTACTATCAGTACTTTGTTATAATGAAACGTCAATCGTGAATATGTGATAATGAAGATGGTGCACTCCATTATTCAGCAAAATATGCACAAACTGAATAGTGATAACAACTGACTTACAATGAGATTTGATAGGGTTGCATCAGGAAGATGATAAGCAAACAGTTCGATCTGTTCAGCTGTCGGGTGGAGACCTCCAGCTTCTATCTTCTCCACAGGATTGGCTAGAATCTCCTTGAGGAGGGGTAAATCATCGCCATGGAAGGTAGTAGCTTCCCCCTCCTCAAACTGAGTGCGAAACCTCCCTGCTCTACCTGCTATCTGGAGTGCCTGGAGGAAAAAAAATAAGAAATCAGCCTTGTCAGTTCCTCAATAATAATAATAATAGCGCTTGTGACATAAAATTTTCCAAGCGCTGTACACAAATCAAGATTACTTCAAGAAAAATCAATATTACTAATGGATTTAACATTACTTAAATTACCAAGAAAATAAAATATTACTAACATAACTGATCAAATTAACATTACTAAAATATCGAAAAAGATCAAACATTACTAAAGAAATACTTACATGTAGGTACTGTCCTTCCTTTTTTCTTGAGTATTTACAGGTACTTTATAAAAAATTAAATTAAACAAGAGTATAGTTTCATCCCTTCATGATTTAAGTCCAAAGAAGCATGCAAATACTGTACAATGAACAAATATTACGGGCAGATTATATAGGACCTGACTAAATATTGGGATTAAAAAAAAATAATAAGCAACATGATGAATAGGGCTGGAGCAATCTTCAAATCAAGAGGCAATTTCTCTCAAAATTAAATTTAGAAACTGGTGTGCAGTGTGATGGTTGATGCCTCCATTTTGAGGATGTCTTGCTACTATTAATACAGTTGGTTTTGGAGTCTCCTGTGGGTCCTCTGATGGTTAAAAAGACAAATTTTGACCACATGGGAATAGACTGTTGTGCCTCTACTCTTTCTTACTGCTCATTTAACATCTCAAGCTTGGTTCATCTTGGAGTCAAACTTGCTACACCCTTTATTAAAGGCATTGTTTAACAATGTTAAATCTGAGATGCATAGCCCTACGTGTTATCAGTGTCTGTAATATGGTGCAATATTGAAGCCCTACAAAAATTGTGCTTCAAAATGATCATGAAGTGCCTCAAAAAAGTATTAAAAAATTGAGTGACTGGTTTTTACCATACTCATTTCCCCCTATAGACTGGAGTGTTATTAACAAAATGTTAGGAAAACGAATTTATGAATTTCAATTTCAAATCATCAATTATCTTGATATCAGACAGGCGATCGGCTTGTAAAAGTTATGGGACTCCTGACTGACCTAAAGGTTTATAAGGTTCATAAGGTTCATCTTTATTGTCCATTTAACAATGGAAATTCATCGTGTTACATGGTATTGCGGTACACATATATTTAATATAATACACTCATAAAAAAATCAATGAATTTTGGAGTTGACAGTAAACAAAAATTATAATTATCATTGCAGCATGAGCTAAATCCAGGATTTTGTTTCAGAATCTGAGACAAAGATACCTAATCCCTTAAGGCTTGTCTCCATTTAAATCTGTCTGCAGCAGTTGCATTTCAAGTCCGGGAATGTATGCTGTAGTGTATCTTACCTGTGAAGTAGTAAGTCTGTGCATCTCTTTCTCTCCTTTCTCATTGATGTATGGCCTGATGAGACTCTTAAAGATTACTCTCTTGATACTCCTACCATATGAAAAAACAAAGAAATAAAAGCCATCAAACAAAGTTCTGTTAAATGAAGATTCATTTGGTTGCCATTGTGCAGTTATCATTGTAAGTTAAACTGGTAATTTGTAGCATGGCCCCATGGTATACCAGGGGTATAACATTATCCTGTTTGGCTAAACAACTAAATACATGTAGCAGATCATTTGAAGTGTTAAAAAAAGCTTCTATTATCTTTTGTTCCTTTGTTTATCATGCAGATGCTCTTTTTATTGTTTCTCAAGTGCCCCTTTAGCAATTGATTTCAAGTGGATTCGGCGCCATACAAATCTCATATATCATTCTTTTTATTATCATTTTTTAATAAAATAAATAAAGTGCTACATAAACCTGAATATCTGATGAAGTTATTCACTATCTGACTAAATAACAAAACTACAGATACAGTTCTATTCAAAATTTGGGGCTATGATTGATGCCATATCCAGTTTGTATGTGAACGTCGAGATAACTAACACCAAACACACAAAGCATCACTTGTCTCAAAAACTGAATTTGTAGGGAATCTATCCCTAGATACCTTAGTTTATAAAACACATTTAGAAAAGAAAATAATACTACAGAAGCCAGAGTCTACTCACAGATTGAGCCCCATGCCAATAGCATCAGTAGCAACCAGAATCTTACAAGGATCATCAGGGTCATTGAACTTTGCTGCTTGACTCAGTTTGGCACCTTGAGATGAAACACAATATGTGGATTACATCATCATTTTTCTTCTGGATATCATCACTGCACAAAACATTGAGACAGTGTCTTAAAAACGAGGATACATCAGAGGAGGCTATAATAGGGTGCATTCAAATCATAATTAAAATATAAAGATTTTTTTTCTTCTCAAGGAGCTCTTTAAGAAAATAAAAAATATGTGTCCACAAAAAGAAAAAGAACATCATTATGAAAGAAACACAGGAGCCATTTAGAGGACTACCCCCCAGGGCACATCTTATTTTTTCGTACCACAGCGAGCCCAGATTGAGCTCGCGAGGGAAACCTGCGCATGCGCACTCGCGAAGGAAACCAGCGCATGCACACGTGCAATCCGGTAGGATGGTTCATAGGGTGATAGTAATTATACAAATTACCTTTCATCAACTCATTGTTAGCTCAATAGGTAAGGACAGCAAGATTACTTATGGCACTTTGGAGTTGACTTGAGGGTTCAAATCTCCGTATTCATTCACTTTTTTGCCTTTATAAATAGTGAGGCAAAGCAATAAATAATCAAAGTCTAATTGTTTCTGACAACTTTGTAAGCTTTTGTAGCTTGTTATGTATAAAAATGAGTTCATACTGGAATCTGGGCCTTGCTGTGGTACAAAAAAATAAGACGCACCCAGGGCTTATTCAGAAGCTTTGTGTATGGTTGGGGGGGGGGCAATTTCCCCCAAGCCCATTTGTACTTTGAGTGCACTTCCAGACTGACTCACCTGGGGGTAGAGATCCATAAATGACCGCACATTCCTTTCCCATGGCTTCTAGCTGTCTGCTTATAGAATACAAGTCATTCTTACTGAACGCAACGATGCAGTCGCCTGGTCTCACATTCTCAAGGTTATCTGTAATGAGAAATTTACAACACCATTGAATATTGAATGCAATCCCGGATTACAATACAAAGTTACTTCATTAATTATGCCTGATATTGTTAGTGTTGATGAAGGGGGGGGGGGGGGCTGCATCTGTATAGGGTATGCAATGTACTGTATGTACTTGATTTGTATCCCTTTTGTTATTATATTCATATGATAAAATGTTCAGTTGCCTTCTATTTTACAAGCCTCATGGTTTCTGGGAACTTATCCTTTCATCTATTATTTTGCCACTTTATGTATTTATGACTTCTACATGTGTTCTTACATTGTTAGATGATAAGTAAATAATTGAAATTGATAATTGAACGTTATTTGAGAACATTTCAATCATGTGCTCAAGATAATCAACACTTCCCTTGATATTCAAACATCCACACAAAGTTCTTCACTGATCCGTGAGATCTTGAGTTCTGGAAATGCCAGAAAATGCATTGTCACCAAAGACAAACAACATTTCCAATGAATGTTCAAGAGTAAAAATAAAAGATACATGTTACTGCTTCATGGTTTTGGTAGAAAATGTGGAGAAGATGAGTAATGAGCAAAGAGAGATAAAGAAATCAAGGTAAAAAGTTCTGACATATGCAGAGCACATGGTCCCATATGTGTGAATGTAATTTTCATAGAGCTGTGTTTTTTTTCTCCTGATTTTTCGCTTAACATTTGGTGGTTAAACAAACCATCAAAGGAATGTTGAATACTTTTTTGGCTAATTTCTTTGGTAATTTGATTCTGATACCCAAACCCAAGATCAGCTGTCCTATCAAGCAAATCTCAAGCTCAGCATTTAGAGGGTTAATACCTAATGGTTGATCCAGGATCTGGAGTGGTGTCAGTCGCTTGTATTCTCGTATCTCAAGCTCATCACCCGTCGATAGAGTGAGCTGTTTGACAAGATCGATGGCAGCTTGCTCTCCGCACAGATGAATCTCTTTGGCATTCACTCCTGTTCAGAAAATGAAAAGGGGACCAATCCTTGTAAAAACAAATTTAAAAAATGATTTACATATAGCTGGAAACTATGAAATCAACTCCCAAAATCTTTACCTGTCATTCTACAGGTGGACGGTTAAGGATTATAAAGAAATAAAGGATAAACCCCCGTGCACAGGATTCAAGTCAGATATGGCTTCTGTGCGTGCCATTGCCTGTGGTAACATAATGTTAATGTTAATTGAAATATAAACTTGCAATATCGATTTATTACAGTAGCACTATCTGAAGATGATCCCAAGCCCAACCTAAAAGTCTATATTACCTGTAATGATGTGCAGATAGAATGAAGCAGTGGATTGCCGTTTGGTCCACAACCAACCCGTCTACAATCAACTTGGTCTAATAATCACTTTGTCTAATGACCATTTAGGCTAACAGTCATTTGGTCTAATTTCCATATGGTCTAATCTCTAGTTAGTCTACTACCTAATTTACGCTATTGCTCAATTAGTCTAATAACCAGTTAGTATAATTCCCAGTTAGTCTAGTGCCCATTATGTCTACCATCCATAAGGGCTAATAATCATTTGATGATTAAATTGTTATTAGACCACATGGATAGTAGAAAAATGGACATTAGACAAACTGGAACTTGAACGACTGGAAATTAGAATAAATGAGTAATAGACGAAATACGTAGTAGACTCATAAAAGATTAGACCAAATGAATGTTGACAAAATGGTCATTAGACCAATGATTAGTAGACGAAATGTTTATTAGACCATGTGGATATTAGACGGGCTGGGTGTGGTCCGTATGTGAATACACCTATTGGGTAGTACACAGACTGGTTGAAGACCAAACAACGATAGACAGAGAGAAGCTACTCACCTAGTAAAGCTCTTGTCCAGGCCCAACCCCTGGATGGATCTCTCAGCATCTGTATCTCATCAATTACTGCTACCTCATCTGTGGGGAATGACAGCAGATAACAAATTGATTAATAAGTGTCTAGAGTACAGACTAATTAACAAACACTTCACTTCATTTGAGGAATTGCTGTGCCTGAGTATTCTTTTTTTCTTTTTTTTAAATTTCAATTTATTTTCCATCTATTTTCCAATTATTTTAAAAACAAATTCAGGAAGGTCGGACTAGCTTTAGGATCCACTGAGGCTCAACTAAGTCGGTTTGGGAAAGACAAGCTTCTAGCCAGCTGGAGACACTGCTGCATCAGAGGCCTTTGGGCAACCAGCTGAAGCATGCGCATGCTTGTTAGTCTGCAACCAGGGAACCGATGGCTTTAAGTCTTCTCCGAGGGACTTAGTAACAAGGATTAATACCTTACCAAAGGGCTCTAGCACAGAATTGGTTTTGAACCCGGGACCTCCTGGTTAATACCAGAACACCGCTATACCACTGAGCCATTGCACATCACTCATATGACAGAAAGTTTTTCTTGTCTTCTAAAGGTTGTATGCTGTTGGGTTACTCTGCAGTTGACACACTAGAGCATTACATCTGATTAGCAACCAAAAGTGGAGAATAAATAATTTAACAGCAGACCATTAGGAAATTTCAAACATGGACAAAAGCCAATGAACACCAACCTTCCGTCTACCATTTACAGACCATTTAAACAAGACAGTATAATTTGCAAATAACAATCAACAATAATTGCTATTCAAAAGCTTTTCAACAAGCAAGAAAGATAATGCTCATGTAGAAGACACTGAAGCCATGCCATGATGATTTTGCCGGAAGGTCAAGGACAAGGGCAAGAGGTTCTCCCGATACTCGAGTATGGTTTACCTGCCTGGAATCCCTACAATATCTGTCTCTCAGATAGGTTAGAAAGCATCCAACGCCGCGCAACCCATCTCAATCTAATACAACAACGGCAACAAGTGTCTTACCAAAATCGACTGCAATTGTTAAACTGGCAAAGTTTGAAGTCTCGCCGTACCTTCCTCATCATTACCTTTGTAGCTAAATCCCTTCTCTGTCTAATTCTTGTGAAGATGTTTAAGCTAACATACACATGGTTGCAAGGCATCTGGATGATCTTCGTTTTAGACATCTTCATGCTCGCACTCAGCAACTAGCTAATGCGGCACTATTTCTTTTTCCCATTCTATGGGACAGTTTGACTATAAGCCAATACGAAACGACCTTATCCTAATAAACTTTGTCAGTTGGAAACAAAGCTTTAAAACCCACCTCTTATCCCTAGACCTCAATGTATAAATCTGATGAAGGCATTTTCAATTCAATAATTTCAATTTCAGTTATATATAGTTGAGCAATATGTGACATAAGCCCGGAGAATAATTTCATCTTATTTCAAAGTTATATGTATGAAAAGCAAGCTCCTTGGCAAGGGGAATTCCCTGGCTTTTGATATGGGAGTATTCTTACATCAACACTTACATGGTTGAGAGACACTTGTCATTTCGACCGTACACGCTACATGAGATGAGGGTATCGAATCTGGGTGAGCGTACTTCCTCTCCTCTCCTGTCACCAAGTCACACATGATACCCTGAGATGGAATGGGGAATGAAGGAAGGGCGGAGCAAGAGAAGGGGAGGAAGAGAGTGATATATAGAGAGAAGAGAGACGAGAGAGTGGGGAGTGAAAAGAGGAAAGAGTGAGATAGAATGGAATAAAAGAAAGAGTGAGAAAAAAAAACATATTGACAAACATTCCCCTTTTTCACTATTACAATGTGGAAATCTCTAAATTAACTCTGATTTACTGGTACCCCTCTAATACCCTAAAACGGTCATCAAATATCATTTTCTGTTTATAAGTCAAAATGTAATAGTGGGTAAGAATGAATTATTACTGTATATTAGGGAAAACCTCGTAAGCCACTACATAGCCAATTAACTTTTGGCTTACAATGTAGCATTGATTGATCTCTTTGAAATGGTTTTTTAGCAACTTTTTATTTCCTTTACAATGCACCAATTAACCCACTCAAATAATTCTGATCTTGACATTATGAACATGACGAACAAAGAAAGAGGACAAAATATACAGTTCTTCATTCTACCCTCAACAATTGCTGTGGTAGACAAAGGAACATCCCTTCACTGCTATTATGTACAAATGTGTAGAACAGGTGAATATGCATGTGCCACCTGTTCTACACATTTTTACATATAAGCAGTGAAGGGATGTTCCTTTGTCTACCTGAGGAACTGTATATTTTGTCCTCTTTCTTTGTCCGCATGTTCATAGTGTGAACACTTAAAGCCCCACTGCACTACTTATAGCTACTTGCGCCTTCTATAGAGCAAACAATGTCTAATCGGTGGCCATTGGTCCCCCATGATCCCCTTTTTCTCATGTTAATTGAGAGCTTATTTGATGAGATATCCATCTGTCAGTTACCATGCAGGGTGCTCTAATCCCCAAACTAGCGCAGTGGGGCTTTAAAGCTCTCCAGTCCCCTAAACCTTGCCTGTCATAAACCCATCCACTCACCCTTTCATTTGTCTTTTTGTGCACCTCACTGGCCAGCAGCTTTAGCGGGCCACAGTAGACCCCAGACTTAGCTTGGCTGTAGCTCTCTAATGCATGGTAGGTCTTACCACTGTTGGTAGGTCCTGCATGGAATATGATCTTCCTATCAATGGCTCTTGCTTCTGGATACCTATTACAGGATGAAAGAAAAAAGAATTGAAAATAGGAATTAATTTGTAATTTGGCACTAACATACCATTAGTTCTTAGAATTCTGAATAGCAAGAGATTACAATAGCTTGGAGTTTGACTTCAATGAAAGAAATCCAATCCCCAAACCATAGCCTACTATAAACTAATAAAGGTGAGTTTTGGGGATAGAGAATATGTGAAACATCAATGTCTGTCTTTCAGCTTTATCATATACAGGGCTCAACATTGATGAATTCTTTTCTTGAGTTTGAATTTGTAATAAGTTTGCTTCTTCATTTTGTATGTTTGTTCTCAGGACTCCTTACCTTATACAACAAAGTCCCATGCAGAGAAGGAAAGTAAACAACAGTCTTATCAAGAGTTTGTAAACCTAGTCTAACTCTAGCTGTTGATATCTTGTGCTGTAACATCACAACAATTGACCCTAAAGAAAATACGATGTTCAACAGTAGATGGCGACCTTTCTCCTACACTGCGCAGGTCAGCACATGGGTAGATACAATATTGGGGAAGACGATAAGACAAGGTTTCTTACAGCTTCCATAGAGAATGTACAGCAGCGTCAACTAATAACGTTTTTAATTTAACTATTGTTAAGGTTTCATGATTCGAAGAGATCTATGAAGGCACCATAAACCTGTTACTCATAGTTTATTGGTTCCCAAACTACAATTTCTATCTGGCTTCCCAGTTCTTGGCCCATTGTATTTGTATGGGAACCGGAAGTGCCTTTGCCAAATATACCTGTTGCTGGTGCTGCCCTCTTTGGCAAAATACTGTAGTTAGGGCAGCAATAATTCGAACCTTTTAGAAGTTTTCTTCCAGTCTACACACACTCACCACTGTGCTGGGTCAGTAAGGTCACTAATCTTCTTCAGGTCTTCCATGCAGTCCAGGGCGGGGAAGATCTGACGGGCGTGGCGTATGAAGTACGGGAAGATGTCATCTATATGCCCCGCCCCTACTAGAATGTCACTCAGAACTATATGCAAATCAGGCTCCAAAGATTCCACCTCCAGGATGTATTTCCTGAAGCTTATAAAGCTTTGATGGAAGAGATTATCTGAGTAAGGACGAAAGACAGAATAGCCTTGTACAGTGGATTTTTCTTCAAAATTAGAATTCCAAATGCAATTTTTAAAAAATATACTTAGAAGAGACATGCTGATAAAATATTTTTAAAGATTTCATTAAAATCCAGACTTCTTTAACAAAAAGTAATTTTGAAAGTCTATAAAACAGGAGTCTGTCATGGAAATGTCAGTTTCTAAAAGACTGCATTTATGACTGTATGTTGAGCCTTGGATATTTGAATGCAAACAAATATCCAAGGCTCAGCATACAGTCATAAATGCAGTCTTTTAGAAACTGACATTTCCATGACAGACTCCTGTTTTATAGACTTTCAAAATTTATGAAGTTTTTGAAGAGAAAATAAATCATAACATCATAGTTTATTCAAGAAAACACATGAAAATCATAGAAAAGAGTTGGTTAAAGTTCCCCAAAAAGGAGTCATGTTTTGAAGATCCCTACATAAAATAGTAAATCTATGACATTCATTGCAAGCTGCTTCTCAAAAGTTTTGAAAGGAAAGTTCTCAAATATTCAAACCATAGAGTTTTTAATTTAAATACAGTGTATTTCACAGAGGGTGAATGATAAAAACATACTTACTATATTATATCTAAGGGACAGATAAATAACAGATTCTGTAAATTGTAAGTTCTTTGAGGAATATTAATCAATCATGTCTATGCAATTTCTTTCTTACCATCCAATCCTTCTTCTTCTGCAAGCTTCTGAATGGCAGGCCTTTTGGAAAACTTGATGAGAATCTTCATCAACTCATCTGCAAACAAGTAAAAAAAAAAAAAAAATGATAAACATGAAACACAGAAGAGTGAGAAGACATTATCAATTATTGAAATACATATGTCATTTAAGAAGGTAGATGGAAATTGGAAACTTGGCTGCAAATCTCTGCATTTATAAGTCATCTGGTAATAAGGTAATCTCTATTAGAAAATGCTTCATATTCATTGCTAGTTCAATTGTTAAGTCACTAGCTGCCAATTAAAGAGTTTCATAATAATTTGGCAGTAAAAAAACATTGCTATTAATTTTCTACCAAATATGAAATAGAGTCTAGGGCCTAGATCTAGAATCTATACCAATTACCATTATTCATAATAGTTGAACAACAAATATTTGTCTATTCTCACTACATGTATATCAATGAATGTCTAGATCTAAATATGATTTCAAGTAAAATAAACTTTAAAAAAAAAAACTATTAAGTAATGAAGTAGTCTATATAAACATTCATACTCAGTCGAAGTCATCAAATTAAGTCATCAAGTCATCTAATTTTCATACATAGATCTAGACCGAAAGCTTCAGTCTCTATAATCGTCGGTTGTTCCACTGAGACTACGTCTGGCTCCACTAGACCTCCGGTTATAGAGACAGAACGATCGCCTATGCCAGCCTATGTTGAACTTATTCCGCTAGATTTTAGCCGCTAGGCCCCTCCCACAAACTTGCCACGGCCGTATTGTTATGCCCCCAAAATCCCCCAAAATGTCATTTTACCTCGTTCATTTCCAATTTTAAATTAGGCCTAGGCTATAATACATCGGTTCCACTTACTAACTTCATTGATATAATCCGTTTAATGGTCCCTTTTAAGGAAATTATCGGTCAAAATCGACATCCATGTTGAAAATCTTGCAAGCCGTGTTAAACTCTCGCTGCCGTCAATCTCATCCTTTCTAGTCTACGCCGAAGGCAAAATGATTATGAAGGAAAAACTGTGATAACGCCATTACGAACGTGTAGATGGCGCACAGTTTTTCCTTCATAATCATTTTGCCTTCGGCGTAGACTAGAAGGGATGAGATTGACGGCAGCGAGAGTTAAACACGGCTTGCAAGATTTTCAACATGGATGTCGATTTTGACCGATAATTTCCTTAAAAGGGACCATTAAACGGATTATATCAATGAAGTTAGTAAGTGGAACCGATGTATTATAGCCTAGGCCTAATTTAAAATTGGAAATGAACGAGGTAAAATGACATTTTGGGGGATTTTGGGGGCATAACAATACGGCCGTGGCAAGTTTGTGGGAGGGGCCTAGCGGCTAAAATCTAGCGGAATAAGTTCAACACAGGCTGGCATAGGCAGTCGTTCAGTCTCTATAACCGGAGGTCTAGTGGAGCCAGACGTAGTCTCAGTGGAACAACCGACGATTATAGAGACTGAAGCTTTCGGTCTAACATAGATCTACCTTTCTTGTTCTTCAAGTTTGCCCCAAGTTCTTCGCCGATATTTATGTCATCAGGGTTATTTGCAGTTTTTACAGGAACAGGGATGAACAGTGCTCTAACATTCTTGTCATCCTTATCTGAAAAGCTACGACAAATCCCAGATGAAGGTGATAAAGTTAATGATTGTCGACGTTGTTGTTGGCAAGCTCCAAAATTGGCAGCGAATGAAAATGTTCGACACCGGACAGGGTGAATCACGGCCGCTGAAGCTAGGGCATGGGGAGAGTCCGACGTTCCGCTAGAAGCAGTGTGCGCTCCAGCTGGAAGTGTTCGTTGAGCACAAGACAAACAACGAAATGTCCTGACAAGGGAATACGACCGACCGTATTTAACAGACATCTTGCAACAAATATGCACCACCAGACATTTATGAATTAATGAAGAACAAGCTCAAATCACAATAAATTCCAGTTAGCTTACGCAAGACTAGACCTGGACCTGAAATGGTCTCGTGCAAAACGTAGAGGGCACCAAAACAATCTGTGGAGGGGTTTGGAAATTTCAAAAAGATAAATGCACAAAATTATCTAAATTCCCAGACTAAATTCTAGTTCAAGGGATCTCCTAATATAAATCCTCACCAAACTTCAAGTACCGAAAATAAAATTAATTTTTGAAGGAAAAAAAATAACTCGTCTTCAATCTCCCAAGTGCCATTTCCTCACTTGGTTAGCACTTAAGTTTTCAAATAATGTGAGATTTAGAAATACCCTCATCAGCTCTCCATTAAAGATTTCAAGTCATGACGAACTGACATGAATTATCAAATGATTGATGAATTCAGAAATTCTAGAAAAAACTATCCATTCAAATGAATCAGGTCATACACCTGGTACAGTAAAATAACAGCCCCATCCCTAACCTTTGCCTTTTTTTCCAACCCCTCCCCCCCCCCTCATATTACATTATTGCACATAAATAAATAATAAATAAATGATATAAATTTAAATAAATATTTTTAAAAGAATCATTGAAGGATTTGAAATTAGAATACACTCGTAAAAAATGCTTTATTGAGAAAGTTCACTTTTAACGGGAATATAGTTTGTATTACTTAATAATAATCATTGATGTATTGTGAATGTTTCTCACTGAATTGACACACTTGCAAAACAAAAATAAACACTTGGGACATTAAAAATAATCTGTATGAGTATTTAATATCATTATGTACATCACATCACTATTCTCTCTCAGAAGAGAATATCAGATAAATAAATAAGCTACAGTACTAGCTTGTATCTAACATACAAGCATATTCTTATCTATAAAGATAGAACTATCAGGTTGTGATGAGGACAGTTTAATACTATATATTTTTATTCTTCGAAATGAATCAGCAAAAGAAACCACTGAAAATATGTTAAAGCAGAATCCCTAAAGCATCAAAGCCAGTATGCCACTAATGAACGTTAACAAATAAAATTAAATCTTGAAGAGTATTTATGGTTTGTTACATTAAATTAATGCTATCTTTTGATAATGATTTCATGGACCTCAAATAATGGCAATATTTAAAAATCATGGCTGAATATTATAATTATGGATAATGAAAGATAAAACTTCTTAGACAATATGAATTTTGTCTTCCTTAAAATTTAAAACCCCTAGCCAGCAAAAGACTGAATTTATGATTTTTGGAATAGTACATGTAACATGTCACGCTTGCTTGATAATCAAATCTTGTAACTACACGTACTGTTCAAAATCGTTCACAAGACAGATATGTAAAAGTTGTGAAATATTACCCCCTTCCCCTTCACCATTACATCTAACCCCCCCCCCCCCTCCTCCCCCCTCAAACATAAACTGAAAATACTTCCAGTAATGGCACATCTCAATGCAGGAAAAACACTTCACAAAAAGAAGAAAAGATGATTAAATTCATTACAAAAATCATATTAATAATGAAATTACAATTCACTTACAAATTTAAACAACTTTCCTCAACCAAGATTGAGTAAATGTGTTTTATCAAGCCAATGGGTACTTCTGTTTCTATATTTTCTGAATAAAAATGATTTTACTGTACTACAAATATAGGGCCATGTTATATGTTTTTTTCACATAAATCATTTAGTTAACATAAAATCCTTAGGAATATTTGCATTTGAGTGACAGATTTAACCAAATTCAGAAATAATTTAAATAAGTCATGTCAAATTGGCAGTGCAATTTCGTTTATATATATTTTTTTTTAAATGTAGAACAGAACCCTTCTTTTGTTAAACTTGTTTTGAGGCGATATTGATATTTAGAGCATCAAGTTATTAAAACTAACATTAATTTTCTACAGTGCAGCTGTTGACAGCAGATTATAATCTATAGAATATAATCCATCATTTTTTCTCCTCTTTCAAAAAAGTAACAAGATTAACACTTTGTCACTCGAGGTGTTCTTGAACGACACGATTACACTTTGACCTTACACACATCCACATATAATGCAATACATCGCCTGCTGAGAACTCAAAGGCCCATATTCACAAAGGAGGTTTAACTTAACCCATTGTTTAAACCCTCATTCACATAACCCATGGTTTACAAATTTGCGCAAAATAAGATTACCTCGCCTTGCGCGCGTCTAATATTGGACCTCTGACTGTGTTGCACTTATTTTAGAGTAGACCATGGGTGATGTAAATGAAGATTTAAACCCTGAGTTAAAGTTAAACCTCCTTTGTGAATTTGGGCCAAAGGGCTTTAATTCAGTGTTAAGGGTTATGACTGAACTCTCTTCTGGCTCTCAGCAGATAATCAATACACATCATATACTCTCTACAGTCTCTATAAGGTTATTTCAGCCTCCTAGATTTTAAACCTTGCTTGTCAATTTTCACTTTCTTGAGTCTAAGTTGTGTACACTAGTTGAACAGAATACAAATATTATCTCTTGATGACAGAGAAGGATGTTAAATCTAATCAAAGTGAGTACCCGAAAGTTAATACCCTCCTGGCTATCAGCATGCAACAGACAATGTCCAACCGTGAAACCATTTATTTCATGCAGGAAAGTGAAGAATTCCTTTTACAGGCATTACATCTATATTTCAAATCTTTAAGTGACAGACCTTGTGACCAATTTCTGAATTTATCACTATATTCTGCGACAACTTTACTGAAGCGCTGCATCAAATCTAATTTGGTTATTTTGATTTAAGATGATCGGTTACAGATGATTAATCTTTTGGATTGAGCAACACACCCATTTCTCTGATCGTTGCATTATTGACAAGCAGGATCAGGAAGTTAAAAACTCTACTTCGCAGTCTCAGCTCATTATGAGCTCATGATAAGTTCAGAAACAACCATGGAGGTAACATCCTTGACTTCAGAAGCCACTCAGCTCATTATAAGCTCATACTAAATTCAGAAACAACCATTGAGGTAACATCCTTGACTTCAGAAGCCGCCAATTCCTTGCGACTGCTGAAGCCTCTCTGCCATCTCCTGCTCCTGGACCTTGTCCTGGGCGTCCTTCTGCATCTTCTCCATCTTCTCCAACGTCACAGACTTGAGTGGGAGGAGTTTCGGTTTGCAAAGGACCATGGTGGGTTGTTCCTCCTGATAGACCAGGCCCTGTTTCGGGAGCACTTCCTTGAACTGGTTCTTATTGTCTGGCATGCCTGCTGTTGACCGGGAACCCTGCAGTTCTAGAAATCACAGCACAGCCGCAGTCAAGATGGGAGGTTTGATGGAGAGATAAGAGCAGGGATTGATGGGTCCAACGCAGTTTGTTATACTGCTTCTAATGGCGTTCCTGAATAAAGGAAAATAAAAATTATTAGTGAAAAACAATATGCTAGATTGATGTCTTGAAATGAAACAATAAGATTGGGAAAATAATTTTTCTGAAAAGGATGATGATCTAAATACTGCAACACTAATTTTTATCTACAAGATTCATGTAAATCGTACCTCATCTCTTTCCTCTCAATAATTATGAATTGACCTACCTTAAGACACATCTACTTGCAACATCCTGCTGCTGATCTCCGAAAAAAGCAGAGGGAGCAGAAGAAGAAGAAGATGTTATTTTTAAAGTGATTGTCTCAAGAGGAAGATCAATTGTAGCCCTATAACTAGATGATCTAGGAGTTTGAATTTGAAAAGAATATTACTAACGTCAGCTATATATCAATTTATAATGTAAGAAGAGTGAATAAACATTTTTTGGTTATTTTGGCAGGAAGACGAGTTAACTTTATTTAGAAAGCAGCCAACATATCAAAATGCAGCCTTAGTACACCTTAAACTTTAAAGAAGGATAACAAATTTGTTAAACAACTCAATTTGATGCAAATGCCGAGTGGATGGGTAGAAGGTATTATTACCTTGGCCATGGCGTTGGCTTTGGTTACCCTCCACTGCCAACTCGTTTGTCAATTACAAGGGCGACCCAACACAAATATTAGTTAATGGGACAATACAATATATCAAAGAGAAAAGTTATACATAGACTAGGTCTAATATGCACTTTCATTATCGGTATTGATTGCTGGATTCACAATTAATTCCCTTAGAAATGAGCAAACCTATCGAGAGTATGCAATAATTACCAATTTCTTCCTGAAAATGATGCACTAACGGTCCAACCTCAATTTTGTATGAATATTTTCGTCGTCATGAAAACAATTTTGTTAACTATGGAAAGCCATGCGTGCGCGCATATTGATCATCCATCCAGACTCGACCTCAGACCTTATTCTTCTTCAAAAAGCTGGTACCTAGCCGATAGTGTCTATGTCCATTTATTTGAGAAATTTGTTTAATACTCTTTTTTAATCTTTTTACGAAAAATAAATTAAAAAAGTAAACAAATAGGCAAAAGAAAACAAAATTAATTATCACAAATAATAAAAACACAAACACGAAACAAAACAAGAGAATAATCTCATATAAAACTACCCCCTCCCCCCCCCCCCCTCTCTCTCTCTCTCTCTCTCTCTCTCTCTCTCCCCTCTCTCTCTCTCTCTCTCTTTAACTCTGTATTCATTATCATAATTTTTCATTATTATCATTATCATACTTGTAACATTATTATTATTGGTATTATTATTGTTATTATTGTTATTATTATTATCAATTATCATTAGCCTACTTATTTATGATAAAATACCAATACTACTATTACTACTACTACTAATAATAATGATAAAAACTATATTCACAATAATAATAACAATATTAAAAGTAGTAGCAGAATTAGAAGTAGAATTAGTAGTAGTAGTAGTAGTAGTAGTAGTAGTAGTAGTAGTAGTAGTAGTAGTAGTAGTAGAAGTAGTAATAGTAGTATGAGTGGTAGTAGGCCTAGTAGTAGTAGTAGTAGTAGTAGTAGTAGTAGTAGTAGTAGTAGTAGTAGTATCAATATTATTATCATCATTATTATCATTGCTGTTATCATCATCATCATCATTGTATCTTGTTTCTGTAATCTATTTTTCTTCATGTACATAGTACAACATGAAGAAAATGAAATACTTAATTAAAATTAATAAAAAATAATATAATACTATTAAAGGTAAAGACCAGTAATGGTCATGCGATTGCATTGTGAAAGAAACGTTGTGGAATCGATCAGAAAAGGTCGATCATCTAGCATCTAGCATCTGCAAGGTTCTGGAATCATCAAAATGATAAGAAATTTGGCTCATTCTTCGTAAAGTTACAAGCACTATACACAGAAAGATGTATATGGGACTACCCTATCTCTCTCACCAGACCATGAGAGAAATAAATTTACCAAATATATGAATTAGTAGGCGGTTTCCCGGCAAATTTTTTATCATCATGTATTAGTCAAAACATATTCTTTCACATGATTGGTAATGAGAGCTTCCATTTCATTTTTTGAAATTGGGGCGTTGCCAATACTGGTCTTTACCTTTAATATAAAATAATATGACATATTAATAAACATTGCTACATCCTATTCTGCAGAATATTATAATTATGTCTGCATCAAGATACGTACATATTTTCAGTTTATAATTATTAAAAAAATGTTTAATTGACTTCATTAAAATGCAATATAACGCGGCATGATCATGCAGTCGATTGTAGAATTAAGGTGAAAGTGAAAGGAGACATCAGAAAGAGAACCAGACCATTATAGATCTATCGGTGCTTGATAAGTCTCACAAAACATCAAGAGAGTCAAGAACATGATACGAGAGAGGGGAGGGGTAATCATATAAAGACATATTGTAGGCTGAGAAAAAGAGATAGTAAATAGAGAGATGGGGAGAAATAAAGACAGGAAAAAGAAGGGATAACAGCTAGAGAGAGAGAGAGAGAAAGAAAGAGAGAGAGAGAGAGAGAGAGAGAGACTATTAGAGAAAGACAGACATAGAGGTATATAGGGACGTTTGAGAGAATGAGAGGGAGTGTATTACATTTGAAAACAAAAGACTGTCTTGATAGTAAGATTGTTTTAACTGTATCTATAAGATATAAAATATAATCTCACCTAATCATAAACGTGTATTCGTGCATTTTCTACCATTGCCAGAAATATATCTAATATATATATATATATATCAGTTGGCTAGAAAATTTCGGGGGTGGGGGGGGGGGGGAGGAATTCACCCTTGCCCATCCACGATATCTGCCTTTAATTTCATTAATAGCTGTGCCGCCCATATCCTCGTCATCTTGGTTTATTGATCGCAGGGTAAAGATTGGTTTCGAATACATAAGCATACATGTACCTACACATCTGAAGTCACGTTTGGAAGCTTTCAGTAATTTCCGCCTTGTAATTTGTACTGCTTGTATAATACTGTTTATATTTCGACTCTTGGAGTGTTTGTGTTCAATTTGGCATTTGATATCACTGAGTGCGGTCATATTTAGTTCGTAGGCTAAATGTATATTTGTGGTTTTAATTGTTCCGTTTTCCGTGCAGCTTTAGAAATCCCCAAAACCTGGACTTTGACTTCAGTGTCAGTAAGAAAATGCTTGCAGTTTCTGGTCCGATCGCCTACGGAATTGTCGCCGAGAATATGCCACAGAAGGACGTTAAAGTGTGCTTTCTTGGCGTAAGTATACCGCACAGACAATATTTTCGAGTGCTTTAGTTGCTATGTTTTCTCAATGAGCCCGTTGGCCAATATAAATTTGAAGCGCGCTTAATCATTTTCTTTTGCCTTTTCTGGCCCTGATTTTGGATTGTAAGTATAACAAAATAGTGCAATAAAATGAGGTATTTTCCTCAGTCAGGCATATTGATGAAAATTTCATAATCACAACGTGAATTTCCTACGATTAACAATTACGCCTAATAATAATATACGCATAATATTTGCTTAATCATTGAAAAGCATGATGTTGGTTTGTAGAACACAACTGTATTGTTCCACGTATTCATGATTCATTTGACATTATAAGTACAACGTGTGCATTCAGAACAGGACTGCAGTGATCATTAGCTCTGCCGGAATCGGGAAAGTCCCCTTTTGTTACCCCCAAACCTCGCACATCTATAGGTCGAATAGATCTGACCCGAAGAACTTGGCTCCGTGTCGGGAACAGCTATAACTATACTACATCTCCTTATTATCATAACCCTTCGGAATAATGTATTCGTGTGACTTCCCTATCATTAGTGTAACAATCAATCATATTAACATAATTTCCTACGGCAGGACCTTGTTCAAAATGTAAAGGTCTTTTTACCCGGAATTTTGAGGTGGTATATTTCAGCTTGCAAGTACTGTAGGCCTATGATCCCCCTCCCCCCTCTCTCTCTCTCTCTCTTTAAGACGCCTCAGTATACTATCGTTTCGCGCCACATTCCCGCTTTCTCAAGATTCTTGGGAGCCCTGTCCTTCCTTACCACAATCATCATGATGATATATTTACTTTCATTTCATTTATTATAGAATTACTGTGTAGGGAAAACCAGTATAACCAAGCGATTCGTCAAAGGGAGGTTTGATGAGGAATACACCAGCACTATAGGGTAAGCTTCTATACTATCCCGACCACTTTATCAATCCTCCACCCCTCCCCCCCCCCTATCTCTCCCTCTCATCTTTCTCTCGGTCTCCCTCTCTCTGCCTATCCCAGGATTCTTATCTCATGTTCTCCTTTTCCCCCCTGATCTCTTCTCCGTCTCTCTCCTCTCACCTCCGCTTCTTAACCTTATGCCACAATATCACTATATTGTCGTTACAACAATATTTCATATTACAATGATTACCTACGGCAGGACCTTGGTCAAACAAATAGATATAAATGTCTTTTGAACCGAAATTTTGTGGTCGTATACCGAGCCCTTACTCTTTAAACACTGGCTGGAACGGCCGATAAGTTTAAATTCATAACCTGTTTTCTCAGTAAAGATCTTCTTGGCTTTATTTCAATTATAGTTATGTCTCTATATAAAAGTAGAAGGAAGTAAGTCTAGAACGGAAATATGAATAGCAAAGTCAGATTCGTACCACTTCCGGATATAAAAAGATGCTAGTTGTTTCTCTTGAGTCTAAGTCTAACATATTTAAACGAATACCATAGGGGTGTTTACATATTCACATTTTCAAAAGCTATTGTAAACTATAAGTTTTCATTTCATTACTGCCAGAACAGTGTATCTATTAATACATCTGTAGACTGTTTCTTGCTTTTGTTTTTATGGATGTGAAAATATTCCTTATTGAAACTAAAACTAAAATTCGCGATGGAGTCATTAGCTATTTTTTGGTAGCTCGCATGTATAGTTTTAGTCATGAAACTTATCACATCTAACCTACTTCCCCTCGCTCTCTCTCTCTCTCTCTCTCTGTCGCTCTCTCTCTCTCTCTCTCTCTCTCTCTCTCTCTCTCTCACTTTGATCTCTTTCTCTTGGTCTCACTCTCCCCCTCCCCCTCTCCCTCCTCCTTCCCCCCCTCTCTCTCTCTCTATCTCTCTATATCTCCCCCCTCTCTCTCTCTCTCTCTCTCTCTCTCCCTCTCTATCTCTCTCTCTCTATCTCTCTATATCCCCCTCTCTCTCTCCCATCATAGCGCCGCCTTCTTGTCAAGATCACTCTACTCCCAGAACATCGAATATCGTTTTGCATTATGGGATACGGCGGGACAAGAAAGGGTAACTATGATTTTATCTAGAAGATTTATTGAGGAGAAGAGGGATTTTGTTTGTTGGCGATATCTGGAATTTTGAGTATAACATCATTCATCTAATACTTTATTACAATCATTTACAAAATGTGTTTAATTGACCCCTGAAACTATTTGTAATCATTTTTTCCACCTAATAAATGACATTCTGTTCCATAATAGTATAAAATAAAGAAATCATCCCTCTTTCATAATTCGGTGACCATTATTCACTAAAGATATAAAATAATTTCTACAGTATTTATCTTTGGAATGACTAAGATTTAGAAAATGTTGTCAATAGGCAGCCATTTTGATGACAAAATAGTATATATATGTGTACCTAAATGTCATAAGATATCTAAATAGCATAACTATTATTGATCCACGGATAGCGATAATGATGAATCATTACAGCTGTATATCCTGTTTTAAATACTATAGGCAATTTGCCATTACCGATCAACGTATTATTTTATGTTCGCTTGAAAATACCAGGAAAGAAGAAAACTGGGAATAAATAAACACTTGTAAGTCGAGTATTTGGTGTCATGTTCGTTACACATCAAAATTTAATACATAATTATATTTCAAGTTTTGTCTCATCTAAGTTTTAGTATAGGGTATCAGCATATTAGCTGAATTTAATGTTTAACTTCACTTAAAGGTAATACAAAGTTTTGGTATGGGGTCATGAATTTGGTTGAAATGAACATATTGGAAGCATATGCGATCCAACAATATTCAGTGATCGTTGTCGCGGTTGAAATCGAGTCTAAAGTTATGAAATTGTAAATAATAAACTCTTCATGTCGTATAGCTCCCTCTCAAGGTCAAGATATTAATTAAGCTATAAAACAATGTTTCATGACTAAAATCAACCGATTAGCTATTCCCGTTTGGAAACTATATATCACAACTACATATTCTGAGATTTTCATGGATGCAGCTACCATTGAACAGCCGTAGGCGCTATTTGATTTTTTTTTTTAAATTTACCGGGAGCACCGGTAAATTCGTATATTCAATTTATCTCGAAACCAGAAGCGTTTTAGGGGCTAAATTTTCTAGTGCTTATAATACATACACAGGGGCATCCAAATATATCAAATTTGTAAAGAATCACTATCCACCCAATTTTCGAAATTGTACAAAACTTTGTATTACCTTTAAATGAATTCAACCTAACTTACCTTATCTTAACTTTATTACCATTATCATGATTATTATCCCCTGTTTATTTGTCTCGTAAAGTTTCGTTCACTAGCCCCTCTGACGTACAGGTCTGCAGCCGCCGCACTCATCGTTTATGACATCACAAATCAGGTAAAAGAATATAGATTTTTCTCTTAGGATGAGGCTAAGGGGTATCCCACCGGGGAGGGGAAATATTGCCCCTCCGTTGCAAATAAATGTTTCGATCCTTTCACTTTTTTCAATCTTCTTCTCCTTCTCCTCCATCACCTCCTCCTCCTCCTCCTCCTTCTTCTTCTTCTTCTTCTTCTTCTTATTATTATTATTTTTCGTTTTCTTTTGATCCAATTTTAAAAAAAAACAAATCGACATTCTTGTGCGATGTGAGGGGTAAGACAAGAGGCGGCCTCATGAGGGGTGGGGCGAGGGATCAAAGTGCCCCCATTTTCCAGGTACCCCAAAGTGACCCGTTTTACATAGGACAAGTGCCCCTTCTCCTTTGTAAGGACTGCTCCTTCCCTTTCTAAGAAGTGCTCCTTTTCCTAGGCCTAAAATATAAACTTGTTGTATTGCCCTTTGCGACCGACCCAAAAATCTGAAAATATACGGTTGGCATTTAAAAAAAGACTTTTTTTAAAACCGTTTTTTAAATTTTTTTAAATTAATGAATACAAAAAATATGTATTTTGTTTGTTTAAATGGAATATAAATGCATAAAATCAAATTATTCAAAAATTCTCACTCGTGCAAACCATGGATGATTATGAGGTTAAAAAGATATCAATTGAATGATGACGTTGAAACACATGTATTAAAACCATTCAAATCTGAAAAATATCGACCCAAAGAGGGCGACAAAAAAAGTTTAAAAAAAAAAAAGTTTTTATTTTAGACCTAAGTGCACTCCCACCCCATTTTTTCCTGATAAGATCACCTTCACTTTCTCATGAATGTCCCTTTTCACCTCTGATCAATGCCCCTTTCGAAATCTGATCAGTGCCCCTTTTCCTTCAACAACTGCCCTTTGTCATCTCTGGTAAGTACCCCTTTTCAGGAACGAGAAGTACCCCCTTACCACCTTTGACAAGTGCCCCTTTTCCTTTTGTAATAATTACCCCTTTCACCTTCTGATAAGTGCTCCTTTACTCTGTGATGATTGCCCCTGTTCAATTTCTGATAATTGCCCCTTTTATATTGATACGTGCCCCTTTTCTTTCTAATAAGTTGCCCTTTACCTTTTCATAAATGCCCCCTTTTCACCCCCAATAATTGCCATTATCTAAATCTGGCAGGTGCTTCTTTTCCTTTATAATAAGCACCCTTTTCCATTCTCATAATTGCCCCTTTTCATCTCTGGTTAGTGTCCCTTTTCAGGTGCGAGAAATACACCTTTTCACCTCTGATATTGTTGCCCTTAAAAAAATCTTTGACTCGTGCCCCTTCTCCTTCTTAATAAATACCATATTTCCTTCGGATAAGTACCCCTTTACCTTTTTTTAAATTTTTTATATGAGCCCCTTCCTCTTTTCAAAATGCCTCTTTTTACATCTGATACATGCTCCTATTAAAACATGATAGGTGTCCTTTTCCTCCAACAGATGCCCCATTTCTATTCTCACAATTACCTTTTATTATCTCTGTTAAGTGTCCCTTTTCAGGTGCAAGAAGTGCCCCATTTTCACCTCTGATAATTGCCCTTTTTACTTCGACACGTGCATCTTTTCTTTTCTAATAACTGTCCTTTTACCTTCTAATAAGTACCTTCTTTTCCTTTCTACATAACAGGCAACCCTAATTCAAAGCGACTTAGATCTCTCTTTAATTTTCCCTAGAACTGGCTCGCTACGCTTGCTTGCATTTATAGTTGTTATAATTATGTTACTTATTTAAGCACTTTTCAGTCTTTCTTCATTAGGGTTCGTTTTTGTCCTATTTATAAGATGTAATTTTTTCACACTGCGCCCTAGCAAATCTTAAACTGTTTGCTCGCTCGCTTTGCTCACTCGAAATGTAATATTCAGACCAACACATCCAACTGCAAGTATGTTACATAAGCAGTATCTTGTGTCACGTAAAGCGAGAAACAAATATTTATGTCATCCTTGGTAGTGTAATCGCAATCATGACCATTTTCCAAAAATGGTGTATGTCCACTTTGAGGTTTCCTTTTGTAGGTGCCTTTTTTTTTCCAGAGAGCGCCCTCTGGGTAAGACTGTTATGTGCAAACACTGCTTGATACAACAACTAAGAGTAGGTAACTGTAGTTTAAATTATTACCTTTTTCAAATGAACCAACACGATACTGGTCTTTGTGAAGTTTGTCAAGAAGATGAAACAATTAAACATTTTATTTTCTATTGTACAAAATACGACAAAGATAGACGTCTCTTAAAAGAAAGGATTAAATTGAACAACCCCAATCTGAAACAATTATTGATGTCTAACCCAATTTTTACTCGTGAATTATTGGGTTACATATACGATACTAATCGTTTTAAATAGCTTTTAAAGCTATCAGGGATCCCCTTAACTTATGTCGTTCCTGTAATAATATATAAAATGAAGTATTTGCGGTTTTTCCATGAACAATTGCAACTAACTCCCATCTCGCCTTTTATGTGCATTTTATGCAATTTTAATATTGCAGCTTTTTTTTTTTTTTTTTTTTTTTTTTTTTTTTTTTTTTTTTTTAATTTTATAAAACCATATCACTATTAATTTCATTTCACCAAGGAAAGTCGCTCGTGGGCTTGATTTCCGAAGCCCACGCCAAAGCTATACACGAAATTGACTGGCGCAAATAATCTTTGAGATTGAAGAGCGCCATCTAAACGAAGAATCAACCAACAACTGCATAAAATACCAAAGCAATATTGTATTGAAGGGGGGGGGGGGGGTGCCCAACCAAAAATTGGTGTGAGTAGCAAAAGTCACGGTCGTTTTTTTTCTTCCTAAAAAAAAATATTTAGCAATCGTTCGATGAGGTTAATTTCTGGATCTCAGAGCTCAGGAGGGATGGTCCTGAGGAAATCTTGATTTATGTGATTGGGAACAAAGTAGATCTCGAATCGTACCGTGTTGTCGACCGGGAAGTGGCAGAGAGTTACGCCCAAACCAAAGGGGTGTTTCACTTTCATTCCAGCGCCAAGACTGGCCAGGGTGTCGAAGAAATCTTCTATCATATCTGTAAGTATTTCGAGAAACGTCATCTGCCATTTCTTTATCGCCTATTATTATGTATTTTCAGACGTAGACCCAGAGATATAATAACGGGTTGAAATTTATTTGAATCAGGGGAGTTAGCTTGAGATTGCCATATTTTTTTCACAACTCTTGAAATGACGGAGCTCAGGTGATCAACAATTTACATCATTTTACATCATTTTAATCAGTATGATCTACTGCTGTGTCGTTTTTCTACATGAAGAGAAAGGCAAAGGCGGTGTTTCAGAAAACAGGGTAGTCGGAGGAAGGATAAAATAAAGATGTGGTCCATAATCCCAAGGTAGCGTCCCTGAGAGCGACTGCCTTATTCTTCTTTTTTTGGTTGGGGGTGTCCTTTTCTTGATCCGTTAGAGCAAAAGGAAAAATTACCTTCTTCACAACTTTCCAATTGATTAAGGATCCTAAAAATCTAGATCCTAACGAAATTTTCATTAAGTTAGTTTTGAAAAATAATTGTACTTCTATTATAACAAAAAAATTGGCTCTCAAGAGCTCAATGCTATTTGCCCCTCGTCATTTTCTTCTTTTTAAATGAGTTTTGTGTGCTTTGTTAATCTTTTTTCTTCTCCTTTACTCCTTATAGGTCAAATGGATTCCACGAAGAGCTCAATAAAAGAAAATGGATGCAGGCATCATCAGAATACGGTCGATGTCTCCGATTCCGATGGAAACAAAGACCATCATCGATGTCGATGTCGGAGCACGTGATCACATCATCAAACATGATCACAAAGACTTTCGAAATATCATCATGAAGCGATTTCAGTATAGCCTTGCACATCGCCTTTTTAAATGCGCGAAGCTATTACTCAAACCGAGCATGATTTATATATCAACAACTGTATTATTTATTCCCCTTGTAAATTTGATGTGTTTTTGTGTTTTCTGTAACTCAAGAATGAAATGTGAACTGGTTGAATTAGGGCCTTTGTTGAATGCTCAATGTAAGCTTTAATATATGTTATTCTCATGAAACATAAATCGGGGCAAATCAATTTTTCACATGCTTAAAAATAAAATACAAACTTTTGAAAGGGATGACTAATTTAGCTGAAGGTAATACGATAGGATATGGAAATTTCCCTTGACTTGACTACTCTCTTTGTGAACAGCTATTATTAGAGTTTAAAAGCTCTGTGCGTGCGTCAAGAACAAAATTTGATTTAATGCTCGAGCTGAGTTGAATATACTTTTTTCACATGCTTGAATGTATATTTTTTTAAACACAATAAAACAACAAAGAGAATATATAACATATGGGAATGATTTTTATAAATATTGTAATTTTGTAGTTACATTAATAACAATTAAACAAATTTGACAATTTGAACATTATTGAAGGTAAGACCTTTTATGTGACACGTGAAAATAAGAGGCTTATTGAAAAGCGTGTCTCGTATTGGAAGCCCCTCTTAAAACTGAAATACGTCTTAATATAAGTGTATTGAGTAATTATTTATAATCATCAACAAAGTATGAAGCTGTGTTGTTTTTCAAGTGTTTAATAAAAAATGAGGTAAGGAAAAGGGCAAAATGACTTCAGAGTTACATGGAATTAAAACGAGAACAGATTGCTATTATCCATATTTTCATATAAGAGACTTCTTAAATTGACGTTCAACGAATAAACGCTCAGGCGAAAATAAATATTGTTCCGCGCTAAATATTCTTCACTTACCGAATTCTTAATTTCAAACCAGCCTAACCCTAATTTTTTACGCCAAAGAATTCCCGGATCAATCGCTCCGGGAACATATTAATATCTGTCAATATTTCTTGCCAATAAACAGTGCGATATTTACTATTGATGAAAAAATGCACTAAACGTTAAAAGAAGGAGAGGAAAAAGAACAAGATGGTGAAGGAATGGGGAAATATAGGTAAGAAGGAAAGAGAGAGAGAAAGAAATAGGCAACCTTACTTTTTCAATATTATTATTTTGAGATGGATTATGGAAGCGTTTGTTTCTTATTTTTTCAATTCAATGAGATAATTATTATAAATATAAGTTGTCAGCACTGTGGTGCTGAAATAAAAGTTGCAGTGTATTCAAATCAGTTTGCCCTGAAAGAGGTTGAAATTTAGTTTAAATTATTTTGACTTAAGCTAGAACAAGACGCCATTTAATATTAATGGGTGACTTTAAGTCTGTGAGTTATGAGTTATGACATTTGGTATCCAGTTTAATATTTATACGTCTGAGGAGAAGATGTATGGACCGGCCTCCGCTATTTTCAAGGCTCTAGAAATGTCAATAAATTGGATGTTTTGAACATTTTACCCCGGTCCCCAACATAAAATTATCCTCTGTACGGCCATGCATTATGGCTCAAGGCATGGGCACACTGAAGATTTTTTTTTCTGTTGGGGACCGGGGGGAAATTCAATGAATTATTGATAATAAATTCCTTTTTTTTAATTTGTGGGAACTGCCCCCTACCCTAGCCCCCGCTGTATACAGTCATGGTTCAGTGGCAAAGCAATGACTTTATAACTGCGAGGCCCCCGGATCAAGACCGTGTCGATGTGCTATATAAGTGCCCTTTTGAGGGCATTAATCCTCATTACTGTCATGTATGACTTAAGGGCGTAGGTCCCCTAGTTGATAAGCATAGTAGCATACACATGATTTAGCAGTCACGCAAAACAAACACTGGCAAATCATTATTCAATACAATCTGAGAATGTATAATATTATCTAGATCTATTAGGAATAAATCATTGTCAAAATAATTCCATAAATTGGGGTAAAATAAAATATTCCAACTTTATGAGCAACAGTGTACATCCATTAATATTTTCAATGTAGATGGCATGCTTAACCGAACTCTTTGTAAATACATGTCTTTATCAATGATGTATCTCTGTCAACGAATATTTTTGACAATGGAGACGTGTACATCCAATAAAATGTATTTATGATATTACCAACATCTTAGATCATGTTTTAGAAGGCAATATGGTAACGGTTCTTAATTGGTCCGCGGTTCGAGTCCCGCCGCACTAATGTCCTTTGGCAAGACATTGATCTACAGTAATTGCCACACTCCACCCAGGTGAAGTAAATGGGTACCTGGTAGGAATTTATTCCTTGAAATGCTAGAGCGTCGTATGGCAGCCGTGCTAAAGCCAGGGTAATAATCGGAGCGCCAGGAGGGTCAAATCTGACTGACATCATGGGGCGCTATACAAGAACCCACTATTATTATTAGTAGTATTGACAAGAATGAATCCAAACATGGACTGTGATGTAGATATCAGGCACGATCGAGGGGGGGGGGTCCTCGAACAGTAAAAAAATGAAAAAAGACTCAGAGAGAGAGAGAGAGAGAGAAGACGGAGGAGGAGAAGCGAAAGAGAAGCGAGAGGGAATGTGAAGTGGCAAGAAGATGAAAGACCCTTCCACATTGAGCCTTCCCATTTCATCCACCTAACTGTTCACCCTGTAGTTCAGTAGACTTGTTCTTTCCACAGTTTGATATTGGTTAAGCCCTTATTCAAAGTTCATAGCAATAGCTACTTTACATGCACAGAAATCTATGTATATTCATGTACTCTTTCCATATACAAGCTCTGTTATTTAATATTTATTACTTACAATTGTGATGCAAATGTACATGTGGCTATATATGCAAAATAAACCCCTGAAGTTGCAAGCATGCATAATCCCGGGCAGATCCCCTACAGGTAAGCATGGAGTGAAGATGCTGCTCTCTGCAAGTCAGAGCCACGCCTTGCCTTAGTCGCACAGACCACCCGACAATACAAAATAATTTCATCTCATCATAAACGTGTATCCCTGCACTTTTTTAGCATTGCCAGAAATATACCTAAAAAGATGGATACGCGTTCATTCACAGATGGCTAGAACATTTCGGGGGGGGGGGGGGGGGGGGGGGGGGGGGGGGTAAGTCACCTTTTCCCATCCATGATAGTGGCTGTGTCGCCCATATCCTCAACATTTTGCTGAATAGAGTACCGAAGTGCAAACGTCGTATTCGCTCCTCGGCTCGATTATTGGTTCCTATAACAACAGAGCCTTCGCACGAATTTCACCGCGATATCTTTCAAGCAACGGGTCGGAGCAGGAAAAATTCAATGTTTGGCGCCGGTGTGATCACCGCGCTATTGTTAAGCACAACACTGTTTTGAACCAGCTACCTTGACAAGTGAGTTAATATGACGTCATACTTTGGTACTCTAATGATCGCATAGTAAAGGTTCGTTTTGAGTAATAATAATAATAATATTTAATTTTTATATAGCGCTTAATACAAATGTCTCTAAGCGCTTTACAAATATATACTATTACCCCGGTCATTGGATTCAGTGCTTGCTCGCACACACTGTGTGCACAATCTCCACTCCCTGGGGAGCATTCCAGCCGGGCGTTACTTGACGCTCACAAGCTGTTTGACCAACAATGACGGTCGCATCCTACCGGGTACCCATTTAACACCTGGGTGGAGAGTAGCAAGTGCAGGTTAATATAAACAGGCTTACAAATCTGAAGATACATTTGGAAGCTTTCGGTAATTTTTGCCTTGTAATTTATACTGCTTGAAAAATCATCTTCATATTTTGACCCTACCGCTGAGTGCGATCATATGCAGTTCGCAAGATCGATATTTAATTGTGGTTTTGAGCCGTTTCCCGTGCAGCTTTAGAATCCCACAATCTAGTCTTTGACTTCAGCGTCTGAAAGAAAATACTGTCAGTTTCTGGTCCGAACACCTACGGAATTATTGCCGAGAATATGGCACAGAAGGACGTTAAAGTGTGCGTTCTTGGCGTATATGAGCAAAAACGTTTGGGGGGGGGCTGACAAAAAAAAATCCACATCACCCCACTCTAACATGCAGGCCCCGCTGAACGTTTTTCAAAGTGGGGTCTAGGGGCAAAGCCCCATCAGGGGGTCAGGGGGCGGAGCCCCCGAAGCTCAATTGGTATGGGCTTCAGTGGTGGATCCAGAAGTTTCTTACGGGGGTACGTGGCATGGGGTGAAATACATGTAAACCCTGATGAAGCGACAGAGCGAGGCTTTAGCGGCGAGGGAGCGGAACGACCAAGCGGGGGTGGGTCTGGGAAGGGGTTTTGACCCCCTTCCAGAGTAGGAATCTTTTGCAATTTGAGAACCACATTTTGCGCAATAATGTCCACCGGCACTTCCTGGAAGTGAGACGTTGTATATGCTTCGTTGCCGCACAATGCACAAAGACGATGGTCCGGTACTTCACCAGTTGTACTAAAAATTATATCGAGTGTATAAACTGTGTTGTTACGAGGGGCGTTGCTAGATCTTTTTCAGTGGGGGAGGGGGGAGAAGCCATCGATTACCTTCAAAACGAGCCACCAATTACCGACAAATATATTAATGCCAATGTCCCAATGTCTACAAATTTAACCCTGTAAACCCGGGGCCAGGAACTAAGTTATTTTTCAGTTCCCCTCTCCCGCGCGAAGCGCGGAAGCTATGACGTTTCATTTATTTATTAGAGAAAGAAGACGATTCATTGTACCGTTCTCGACTCTTAATCCTTGCCTGAATTCATTTTCGCCCATCCCGCGCTTAGCGCGGAAGCTTTTACGTTTCATTATTATTAGAGAAAGAGGTCGATTCGTTTCACTGTTTTCGACTTACAATCCTTGTCCGAATTCAGTTTCCTCCCTCCCGCGCAAAGCGCGGAAGCTTTGAGTTTTCATTAGATTATCAGAGAAAGAAGACGATTCTTAAAATGATTTTTTTACTCTTAATCTTTGTCTGAATTCAGTTCCCCCACCCCCCCCCCCCTCTCCCGCGCAAAGCCCGGAAGCTTTCGGCGTTTCATTAAATTATAAGTGAACGAAGACGATTTGTTGTACTGATTTCTACTCTTAATCCTTGCTTTCACATTTCATTAAATTATTTGGAAAAGAAGACGAT